GACTTGTGATGGACTTAGGATGAACATTGTGATGGACTTAAGTTATTAACAGAGGATTCAATCAGATGACACTACACAGATTCCTGTTTTCCTAATATTTCTATATTACCGTGATTTGACAAGCAGTACAGCTACCTGAAATGGAGCCATAAGATCATATGTGTATGACGGTGAAAATGGGCCATTAAGTATTACGTTAGAGTCGTTTGATGGTTCAATGGATTGATGCTAGATTGCATTGGCTCATGTAAACCTATTGTACACGAACACTTAATCTGTACGACCGCTTGTTTTCAATTGACAGCTAAACGCATTATGTTTATGGTTCGAAATGGTTGGTTTTGATGTTAAGTTGAAGCAAAAAGATGTCTTACTCATTCAGTCATATGCTTTCAAAGAATACCCCCGGAATTACTCTACCGAAGTAGTGTTTCTGTATGAAAAACCACGGCCTGATCGCGCAGCGGATAGATGCTTCGGTTGACTTCAGTCACTTTGTACCGCAAGACAACTTTAATGAAGCGGACAATCTTGCCCAATGTCGTGCCAAGTAATAATTGAGCTTGGATAAGTCCCTGTATGGAAACCTATTTAAAAGCTGATATCAAGTTCTGGAAGCAACCCTTTGTCAGACAGACCATCTGACCAACAGAGACTGACCAGCTGAGACTGACCAGCTAAGACCGACCAACTAAAACAGACTAACTGAGACTGACCAGCTGTGGCTGACCGGCCAAGACTGACCAACTGAGACTGACCAACTGAGACTTACCAACTGAGACTGACCGGCTGAGGCTGACCGGCTGAGACTGATCGGCTGAGACTGATCGGATGAGACTGATCGGATGAGACTGATCGGCTGAGACTGATCGGCTGAGACTGACCAGCTGAGACTGATCGGCTGAGACTGACCAGCTGAGGCTGACCGGCTGAGACTGATCGGCTGAGACTGATCGGATGAGACTGACGAATATTTGTTTAACAATGTATAACTTTATTTCGTGTTTCTGATATAATAAATAGCCCATTGTTTTGACGGAGTGATCTAGGAAACGAATAAATGCAGATAATCTGATGTGTGTATTTATAGCAAGTGCATGGAATTTCTTTGATTCCAGTTCAAAATCAGCAATTGGTGGCATACCTTTGGAGAGAAGTAATTAAAAAAGTACAATTCAAAATGTGCAATGTAGAGTAAATGATAAGGGGAAAAAAGACAATTGTGAATGAAATGATTTGTTAGTTTTTTTACATTAAAATTTAGCAAGTACTGCAAAAACGCGCTGGCGCTGCAATATCCATCTTTTCAGAATCAAGACAGCTACACATCTAATACCGCTCGATTGATCTGCCGTGCCCATTGATCTCCATATACACAGACTGGATAGGACATCCCGCCGTGTTTGTGCACGAACAATGGCCGAACAATGGCGGCGCGTTTGTCGCATAGTGCATTGCGCCCTCTGGCGATAAAACGGGACTCAAAATACATTCCCTCGTACCGTACCCTTTTGCCCTGAAGCACGTTTTGGCGGCCCTTGAACTGGAACATGTTTCTGACGTCACAGCCGTGACCTGAAACATGTTTCCTGTGCACCGCGAAAACGACTGACCGGAAAATTGTTCATGACGTCATGTTACTGCCTACGTGACTGCACAACCCCCCCCCCCGAAAAAAAAATCTCGCGGCGACCGGACATGATTAACAATAACATTCAAAGCAGAAGTATATAGCGTTTCCCCTAAAGTTCTAAAAAAGAGTAGGCCTGATATTCTGTATCAACTTCCGTACTAATTGAAGGTAAAAACTCACTATTTAAACCCCATTTATTGTAAAAGGTAACATCGTCTGCTAAGCTTGTTTACCTTTCCGCCATCTTGAAACATAAGTGAACCGAGGTTTCCGGTCGGTTCAGAAACATGTTTACGGTCACAGCGCCAAAACGTGCTCCTGCAAACAGGATGCTGGGAAGAGCTGATGAATTCACGCTCTGTTTGGATTATTTAGCCTGACCTGTGACCTGCAAGTCATCACGACCACGACCCTGCAATGTTTCAAACGGCCAATAAAGACTGATTCATCACTCTTTTATTCCAATTCATTAATGCTTTTGTTTTCATTGAAAAGCGTTATAATAAAGGAAAATCTGTAAATTTATCTGTGTTGTAAATTTGGGATTCCAGTTACTTGCTCAGGCTCCGTTTCGAATTCACGAAGGGTCAATGATTGCATTATGATGCGACGCTCAAAATTTGTCCACATAGTCCGTTGAAAAAGAAATCACATCCGGTATGCGGAATGTATGCATTTCTATGGGAAGTTTTCGGGATAGCATTTTGCGCGCATTGTCTAACTGCAGCCTAGTGCTTTATATAAAGGTCATAGGCCACTTCCTTCACAAGATTCTGTGAAGCTCATCAGCCCTTCCCAGCGCCCTGTTTGCAGCCCGGTTGGTACGACCGAACCCAGTACATAGATATGCAATCTCGTCCCCACTGTTCCAAACAGTACGCCCCTACTAACTGCTTTCTTGAGGTTCAGAGTAGACCGTGAGAACGAGGTCCACAGAAACGGGTCTTCGTTCAGTAAGAACAATGCTATATTGAGTACGAGTGATGATAGTGTTCATGCGTTTTGCACACATGCGAAACGGCCATTTTGGTCCCAGCCAATGAAAAAGCTCTAACTTGCTAGCTCCGCCCCTAAGCTCAATCAACCACGACCCAACCTCGTCCCCAGGATGTCGAGCAGTACGCGCCCTATACCTGCTCTTGGAAACTAGGTTGGAAATAAAGTAAGCACTGGGGACGAGGTTGACCACGACCCGTCAACGTCTTTAGAAATTAACAATGGAAAGGATTGTGACTTTTTTCTTGTAACAGCGGATACTCGCTGCATGATGAGAGCAAATATTCAGTTTATTTAATGCCACGCGGCATATGCACATACAAAACGAATGCCCCCAAAAAGATAAATTCACGAGTTATGTCTTGTGGTTGTTTTATTAGTGATTTTTTCCCCCGATTGGTTACGCTGGTCTTGTCAATTCCAGCTGGCGATGTGCGTTTGATTTGGGGCTTCATGAGAGCATGTGTATATAGACCGCGCTGGAGGGTTGTAGTTGTTGACTAATTAGTCGAAAGGAGAGGCCCAGCCAGGATCCTCCTGGTCAGGACACATTTAGTTCCGATCATATAAAATAAATGTTTCAACGAAAAGAAGTATAAAATGTCTCTATCGATAATAATTAGGAAAAATATCACAGTTTTATTTGTTTACGTGTTTAAGATACATCTTTAAAGACCAGCGTAAACCCAAAAAAAACATGTAGCAAAATTTGTCAGAGGTTTTATTTAATGTGCCCAAATACGCACATCACACGGCAGTCCAGGCATGCTCGAGCTGGGGGGGGGGGTGCTATTGCTCATGCTGACGCGGCGGCGACGGATGCGGCTGCTGCTGTCCCGGTTGCTGCTGCTGCCGGTGCTGGTGCTGGTGCCGCTGCTGCTGCTGGCGTGGCGGCTGCTGCCATTAGGGACCATTAGAAAACCGTGCAGGTACGGGATGCGTGTGCGTATTATGACGTCATGCGACGTTTGCGTATCGCGTACGTGCATCGTTGCTGAGAGGATTAGATTCTTGTGACGAACGGACATACGGGAGGGCGTCCACCTCTGGTGATGACGAACAGCTGTGGTTCCTTTCATAAAACTTCCCGAATAATCTTATCCTGCCAAAATCAATCTTATCTCCAAAGCAAACCCTGAAATTTACAATTAAACTTATGTCCCTTGCAAAAAGAAATTTTAGTCCGAATCAAACTTAACTTTACACTTGATCCGAATCAATTGTAGCAGTAAAACAATCAATCTTAAATGTAATTTTTGGTGGGGAAAATGTTTTAAAAATTGACATTCTGCCAGAGTAAGTAAAATCGCTGCGACTTATCATGGGTTTTTCTGCTGCTTTTGATGCAGAATCGTTGTGCTTTCCAAAGGGAGAGAGTCTTTAGGGACAGGAAGAACTATTTTGATGCATAAGATGACAATGAAGGTGAAAATGATGCTACTGAAGCACTTCACGGGGGCGCTGCCAGGGGACAAAATAATTCATCACATTTCAGTGAACGTTTGACCTCATGTATAGATGAGACCTCTGCAATTTTATTCTTTAAACATGAAAATAATCTACACATCTAAAAATACAATGACATGTATATTTCACGAAGACAACACTTCAATACTCATTGAACTTAAACTGATGCAAAAAAGGTATTTTTTAAAATAAACATTTCATAGACTTACAGGTACTTGATTTTTGGTAAAATGTTGCCGAATTTGAGTTTTGCAGACAATGTGGGCCTTATTCACGAGTTGGCAATTTTTGTCGAGTTCCCTGAATGTATTTCATCAATTGTTAACAGTTGAATGGCATGGCGCCAGACTAATTATGCAGGCACAAAATATGACTTTAAATATAGGGGAATGTTTAATTACAAATTCTAAATTATTCATTGAAGCAGACTGGAATTTATTATACATTAAGTTGCTTTCATTCTCTTCGCAAGTTCCAAAAATTAAGATTTTACCTAACTTTCAATGCAATATGGCAGACTCGTGAATAAGGCCCATAATGCCCAATGTAAACACAACTTCCACACCCATCTTTTCAAATGAAAAGTCCCTTTTGAAAATGAACAAACTTTTAATGAAGAAATTAACATTAAATGTACAAATGTGCAGGGACAATTATTGTTTGAAACATGCTTGCCACTTGAAATATTACTCCAATTCCATTCAATGTCTTTGATTTTGTTCGTGAATCCAAGTTATTCATTTAAATAAATAAAGACCAAGTTAATTTGCATAGATGGAAGACACTCCAAGATGTCTTTCTGAACAGCCCAATTTGGTTTCATAGATGCAACTTGGACTTCTCAATTTGCAACAGCTCCTCCTCCACTTCGAGTTCTTATTTTGTAGCCTCGACAAAAAACTTTCTTGTACATTAAAGTAACGCACAAGGTGTCCAATAAGTCAATAGGCCTACATGCAACTTCTTTGTCACCAACCAACTGCAAAAGAGACCCGTCTCCGTCTCTTGTCCTCCGACTCCATACTTTGTCTGCAGTGCCAAGGCATCTTTGACTAGTTCAAATGTTTCCTATGCTGGTATGGATCCTCCTATCCTGGTAAGAGACAAGTTCAGAATAGGAAATGAGATGGATTTCTGGAGAAAGGCATGTGTCTCTATTGAGTAACAGTTGACCAAACGTACAATTTATTTGTAGAGGTCGACACAATTACAACAATAAGAAAGGTGATTTTTTTTTCACTAAGTGATTTCAAACCTTCTTGTAAGAGTCACGAACCTAAAAGAAATGAAAACATATGGCGCTGACATTTAATCACCACATTTCATCAAAGCCTAATTAAGAAAATCCTGTCTATTGCCAGGCAGAAGAAAACCAGTTTGAGGTCTTGGATTACCTGTAGCCTGAGTCTGGACCTTCAAATCATTCCATTTCTTTCTAACAGCCATCCAGTCTCTTGTCGGTGGTCCTCCGGCTATTCTGATCAACTTGGCTGCTTACAGCGATTTTGCTCCTAGTTTCAACCTGATTAATAACCATAACACTTCAGCTATTTTTGGCATGTGTTGCAGTAAAAGAGCAATAAAAATATCAAATATAATCTGCTCAAGATCTCGTACTGTAAATACCAGAAACATTTTTTTGCCATGCAATATTGCAATTTAACATTTTGAGTCGTGAGGGAACATTCATAGAGTTGTATATTTGTGGCCTATTGTTGTTTCTGGCACTCTACACTGTCTTTTTGAACTGATTCATTCAACCTGGCATCATGTTCATTACATTGTTTAACATAATTATGCCACATGTAGTCCCATATGCTGGGAGAGACAGCCTCCCAACCCAACACATTTCTGGTCCTACTTTTTCTAAATACATTTTCAAGGAACACAAAGCATTCTGTATGTGCAGTAATATTCAGACATGGAATCAGGATATAAGATTTGTACAGACTGGCACAGAATTGTTTGGCAGTTCACAACAGAATTAGAGGTATTCTAAAAGCTATAGGACGTTTGACTCTAAGTCAGTTTAAAACTGACTTAGAGTCAAAAGTCTTAGCTTTACCTGTAGCCATTTTCTTTGCTTGCACCTGACGTATGTCAGTCCATTATCTGGCCTGTGGACCAACAGCCACTCTTTGCACCAGCATTTCTTCTTCCTTGCCTCAACCTTTCAAGTAATGAAAAAAAATAATAATTTGGGTGAATGCCATAAGGACCACAGCATTCAATATATGATTTATCTTAAAACAATACTAGCCACAGAGTTTTGTATAGAGACACAACATCATTAAGGAGCCAATTAAGATTCTTGCTAAAATGCACATATTGCACCATGGAGGTATTCCTATCTCCATGGTTAAACAAACATTAAAACAAGCCTCCTTTTCCACTTAATTATTAACTAATTGATTAATTAATTAAATGGATATTTATTCACTGATTTAGTTTTTATTTAATTCTTTTGGCCATCCATACTCCCTTTGGATGGACGACACACTAAACAAACACAACTATTCAATTGTACATAGAGAAGTAATTAGAAATATTCGTTACCCAAATAAACTTATTTTACCTTCATGGAGAATGAGGTTGTAGGTTGTGTCCCAGATTCGAATCCCAACTGGGCCATTATGTGGATCAGGGTATTCAGTCCCTGCTTGATTCCACGGGTTTTCCCTAGAATGTCATTCCGGGGTTTTCCTCCCACCACTAAAATTGGAATTTCCTTCCATATCCTCTACCATGCCAACAGAGTCTGTTGGAAATAAGTTGAGATTAGCCTACTGCCACATACATGACATAGGTTATCCCAGCCACTTGTCAAATAATACATACTACTACCTACATGATGTAGGTGTGTATAAGTTGCAAATCGCGGAAGTGACCATCAGGTTGCAACATTTCTTTTACAAATAATTTGACTTCAGTATGTCCAGACAGTTTGTATAAACAGGGGCCCTACACTACACATTCGCATTTTTTTTTTAAAGGGGGGGGGGGGGCTGTATTTTACTTTAGTGACAGAAGCCCTTTGCCTTTGTAACATGAGCTTACACAGGCACTTCAGATATATGTTTTCACACACAGAGTTGACCATAATTTATAGTTTACGACGAAGCAGGCCATGCTGGTTAGTAATATCATCATCATGGAGCTATCAAACACGGTGATCATAAACAGGCATGCAACTTGGAAGAAACAAAAAACGAGGAAACTCCAATCTCTACAAGACTTTGTACAGTGTTTTTCAATTTTCAATGGCATAAGTGTGAAGTGAAAAACGATGAAATCAGCTTATCCGAGGAAAAGTTGCATGCCTGCATTAAGTGTAGGGCCCCTGTTTTGTTTTGATCAAATAAGGGTCAAAAATATTATTTATTGCTCAAAAATCACCTTTACAATCAAAAGCAGACTTTTCTCAATTCTAATGACACCCATTTTGCAATTTTGAAAAGATTCTTGGGGTAGAAATCACGATTTTCCTGCGCGGTTTGTGCCTTGCGATTCAGCGCCATGCGTGCTCACGGTACATTGTGCGGTGATCACCATCTTTATTTTCGGGTCGCATGTTGTCGCCGAGCTGTCATCAGGTCATCGTTATTTTACCCGCAAATTTCCCTCAAAAAACCAAAACCCTTCCCTTTATCTATGACATACCTGTTTATTGAGAATGTTGCCAACTAGTTTGTTAGTTTGATTTCGTTACATTGCAATGTGACGAAATCTTGCCCAGACATCGGGTCCAATTTCTGGCTTTAATTTTCTTCATTTACGAGACAGTGTATCTATAAACAAGTATAAACGAAACAGAAATACGTCTTTTTGTTTTACTAAAAAAAACCTTCGATTGGAGTCTGAAAAGCAAGTTTTTAGTATAAAAAAACCTATTTTCAAATTTAATGCACTGTTTTTCAATTTGCTAGACATTTATTCAACGTTGTTCATTAATACACAAAATTAATGTTATAATTCCATTATTATAACTGGATATAAATTGAATTCAAACCAACATTTATCATAAATCAACAACATACATACTGGAACAACGTTAGGTATAGGGTGAAGTTTTTGAGATATTACAATTGTTATGTACATTGACGTGAGTAAAATAAAATAAAGGATTCGTATCATGTTTAAATATAACGTGTCTGCCAATGCATGCAAAGGTTCGTTTTAAATTTTGTTATTGCTTGTAATATTGCCCATCTCATACCCGTTCGAATGGTGTATAGTATGATATTATAGGATGACGCTGAAACAAAACATTGAAAAAATCGACTAACAGGGAACAAAATGTAATATTTCCATACATTTACGGTCGCACATTTTAAAGAGTACTTTCTAGTACCCACCATAAAATGTCATAAATTGGTAATATTTTGAATGACTAAACATTCCTTGTCAATATTAAATGACGGAAAGCTAGCGGAAATGTTCCTTTTGGCCGTACAAGACGAATTTCGGAACGGTGTTTTCGACAGAAATTCGACAGAAATATAGCCTCGTGCGCGAAATAGCGCCCTCTGTTGATAGGCATGGTCAACAAAATCGAGCAATAATTCCCAGTGAGTTAGTACGTCGTCATCGCATCGTGTTCTTATAGAGAGTGGAGACTTTTGCGACGAAAGCGAAGTATTGAGTAGTCGATGTACCTTATTTCGTGCATTTACAATAAGATAAGCATATTTACTATCGATTGAGTGGATTGTAGGGTGGGTTATTTGAGAAGACTTCGCAAAAACAATTACAGAGAAACGTGGTTTTCGATTTTCTTCCCTGGACAATCGACACGGGTTTCAATTATTTTTCGAGCAAAGCAAAACACAGGGGGAAAAGTAAAGACCATTTCAGCCAACCAGGCGTGTTTTCCCGACCCAGGGAAGTCAGAGACTGGAGCTGTCATTGTGATGTAAACTGCCAGACTTCTTCAGGCTTAATTGAAAATAAAGATCTTAATATTTCTTAGAATATTTTGTTTGACATCGATGGCCGTCCGTTCCTTTTTTTTCGATTGTGCATGGTCTCACAATATTTTTTTCCCAGAAATGGACAAGTAATTTTCTGTTGGACAATCAAATACGCCACCCTCTAAATGGGATATTGAATAAATATCTAAAGAGAAGATGGGTCTGACAGAACAACAGGCCGGATTACATAAGAACTTATGATAGACTTCAACCGACACAGGAGAAGGTTACATATTTAACTAAACATTTCTAAACGATTAAGAAAACTTAGGGAGCATTAGATATGAGCCGAATTTAATCACCGCCGCAGCTATACTCTCTCATAAACCGTAGCACATTTTCTTTAATGAACAGTTTATAATTTTTGAAAAACGGAGCCGTCTGAAGAAAAAGATGCTCGACTTTTTATCAATTACTGTTGCGGAGGCTATGAATTTGACAATTATGTCAGGAGGGGGCTCAAGCTGAGGTTCCCAAAGCTGAGCTTGATCGCCCGGGAATTAATCCTCTAGATGAAGTGGGACCACACCAGCATCAGAAGAACGGGCGCGATATTTGGGCGCGATATGAAATGAATTGAGAAAAGCCATTTTTTTTGTGAGAGAAGTGGCCCAATATATGATTTTATCTGTTTTTTTCAAATAAAACTCAAGAATTACAGGTTTTCTCTTAGCTAGAAGGAACAAAAACCGGCTGCACCACTTAAGAGAACCATTTTCGGCCGGTAAAAATACAACAGAAAATAGTAGTAAGATTAATCATGAACATTTTGCAAAGAAATGGCCTTATCACAGGAAATATATTATCTAAAAAATAATAATAATAATCACCGTGAAATCTTGCATTTGCAAGCTGGTTTAATTTTTATTTAGCATAGTAAATCCAAAATTAACAACAACAAAAGAATGTTTGGCTTCCGTGCCGGTACGTACGGTGAGAAGCGACGGGCCTGTAATAAACATTAATGCAAAAATCGTCGCAAGAGGACGCCATTGATAAGTAGCGCCCTCTTTGAAATTAAGCTCCAATTTTTGACAATTTTGGTGAGTTTGGTTTTTAGAAAATTCCCTGCCTAGTTTTCTGTACCCAGAGATGGTATTTAAACATGCTTGATTTATTTTATAGGACATTTGACCGTTTATTGTCCTGGAATATACTGATGCCTGGGTCACATAATGGTTTTAAACCACTGTGCATTGGCAAACAGCCGTGGTCAACACTGTGGGTGAATGGATCGTGGCCAAAATAGGAGAGCTGACTCAACAGTTGAAGAATGCGAAGGCACTTTTGGACACTGGACGGCTTGATGAACCTAAACAGGTTTTATCACAAACGCCTGATTTAGTCAATCCGCCTCCATTACCTATTTTAAAAATGTATATTGATGCCGAAGATGAGATTGACGAGATGGAGGTGGATCAGCCCGACATTTCTGTAATTAGAAAGACTGTTGATCCAAAAGAAATTTATCATGAAATGAAAGAAAAATGTAACAGGCAACAGGGGGGTAATGACAGGGTTGTCCCTAGCGTAACCGTAGTTGATATGGGAAAGAGTTTATCTGATTTGGAGGGGTGTGTAAAGTCATGTAGTAAAATTTATAACATGTCTGAAAATGGGGCTCTTAGAAATGCAGCTAATATGGGACACTGGTTGGAAATATCATTTAAAAACCTTTCGGCGGGATAAGAAAAGGGGGAAGGTAAATTCAGCAAACTTTAACACTTGGTTGAAAAACAATTGTAAGATAAAAAGAACTTGGGCAAAAATACACAGAGACTTTTACGACCTCACCAAGAAGTACCCGCAATTACTTCACTGTTGCCTACCCTTAACGTTCTTCAGAAAAAATAAAATGCATATTGTAAACTATTTTACAAGTAATTTAGAAGTAGGATCAAAATGGACACATGCTGTGCTTTGCAACTGTGGCCAGTGTGGACCTTGAGTAAAAACCTGTTGATATATGACAAACCAAAACAGCTATTTAAATGAGTTAATTCGAATAACAACGAAAAAGCCACTCGGGGTGGCTTTTTACTGTATATATTAAGATGTATGAAAAGCTATTTGAATGAGCTAATTTGAATAACAACGAAAAAGCCACTCTGAGTGGCTTTTTACTGTATATATTAAGATGTCAGAAAAGCTATTTAAATGAGCTAATTTGAATAACAACGAAAAAGCCACTCCGAGTGGCTTTTTACTGTATATATTAAGATGTAAGAAAAGCTATTTAAATTAGCTAATTTGAATAACAACGAAAAAGCCACTCGGAGTGGCTTTTTACTGTAAAAATTATAATATATGAATA